TCTGGTACTCAAGCCTGTGAAGACAAACAAGATGCAAGCATCTTGGCAGAGCCCGTATAAAGTGTTAGCTCAGGTATGTGATACTACCTACCTTATAGCCAGCTGTTCAGATGAAAGGATTCAGCGATCCTTCCATGTGAACATGCTGAAGGAGTATCAAGAATGACCAGAGGATGTTGCAGCAGTATGTGCCCCAGCTTCTGACGATCCCGAGAACTTACCTTTATCTGACTTGCTAGAGAGGGACCCTCAGACAGACCTTACTAGTCTTGTACAGCTAGGGGACCGGCTAAACCCGGCAGAGAAGGTACAGGCGAGACAGTTACTGTGGGAGAAACAGGCGACGTTCTCCCAAGAACCCGGGTACACTACCCTAGCTGTACACAAGGTCGAGACACCCGGACAGAACCCACTACGACAACCCCCATACCTTATTCCTGAAGCAGTCCGAGAAGGAATGCGGAAGGAAATACAGGAGATGACCAGGCTAGGGGTTATCGAACATTCGGACAGCCCTTGGGCCTCGCCTGTAGTTCTGGTGCCTAAGAAAGATGGGACCACCAGGTTCTGCGTGGACTACAGGCGGCTCAACGAACGGACCACCACTGACGCCTACCCTATGCCCCGGGTAGACGAGTTATTAGACCGCATTGCCAGGGGGCGATACCTGACCACCATTGATCTGTGTAAAGGTTATTGGCAGATCCCCCTGGCCGAGGATGCTATCCCTAAGTCGGCATTCGTCACCCCATTTGGCCTATACCAGTTTAAGGTTATGCCATTTGGGATGAAGAATGCTCCGGCTACTTTCCAGCGTATGGTGGATAGGCTCCTCGATGGCTTCCAGGACTTTGCATGTGCATACCTGGATGACATTGCAGTCTACAGTGAGTCCTGGGAAGACCATTTAGTACACGAGGGGGTGGTACTGGACAAGATTCGGGCCGCAGGCCTGACCTTGAAGCCAGACAAGTGCCATCTAGGCATGGCAGAGGTGCAGTACTTGGGTCACAGAGTAGGCTGTGGGAGCCAGAGACCAGAGCCAGCCAAGGTAGAGGCTGTGGCTAACTGGCCCACACCTATCACTAAGACCCAAGTGCTGGCCTTCCTGGGGACGGCAGGGTATTACCGACGTTTTGTCCCTGACTACAGTACGGTTGCTAAGCCCTTGACTGACCTGACTAAGAAGAATTTGCCTAAGCAGGTCCTGTGGTCTCCAGCTTGTGAAGCCGCGTTTCAAGCACTTAAGCAGGCTCTTGTTAAGGCTCCAGTCCTGGCTGCCCCAGTCCCTAACAAACGTTTTCTCGTTTATACAGATGCTTCCATGTATGGACTGGGGGCTGTGCTAAGCCAGGTCGGGGAAGATGGAGGAGAGCACCCTGTCGCATACTTAAGCAGAAAGTTACTACCCCGGGAAGTAAGTTATGCGGCAGTGGAGAAAGAGTGTTTAGCCCTGGTCTGGGCACTGAAGAAACTGAGCCCTTATCTGTATGGACAAGAATTTTCCCTTATTACGGACCATAACCCCCTCGTCTGGCTTAACCGGGTCTCAGGAGACAATGGCAGACTGCTGAGGTGGAGTTTGGCACTACAGCCTTACAACTTCACCATCAGCTACCGACCCGGTAAGCAGAATGGGAACGCGGATGGGTTGTCCCGGCAAACAGACGTCCCTACTTCTTCCCAGTCCGGTCATCCCCAAGTTGACCCACCGGTCATCCCCAAGTTGGCCCTGCCACAAGGGGGGAGCCGTGTGACAGACCCATCCGTCTGGATTACAAATGCTTTGTTCGCCTGTTTTGCCGGTTACATGAATTTCCCCATTCGTATGCTTTATTCAAGGGAATGTCGGTTTTGTCGAACGGAACTACCGAACGGATGGCCACCCAGAAGAGAAGTGTGCTGCTGGTTAACCTATTGATCCCAATTAGAACGTTGCTGTTAACCACAGACACTTCTCAATTAAAACCGAATGCCGGGTGGTCGTCGTTCGTATGTCGACCACGAGGCGGCGGCCATTTTTTCCATGCGAACGACCAGCGGTGTTCGACGATTATTTCATGGATCTGAAAACGGACACTTTTTCAGCCGAACACCGCTGAAGCCGTCGACCTCCCCTTCTCAATCGACAAAAGGATACGAATGCCAGCTGTTCGGGAGATTCAACCACACGAATGGACTTAACCCAGATAGCCGCCCCATGGAGTCAATCGCATACTGAAGAACCAAAAGAGACTTTGACTCCATGGCGATTGAACTATGCGAATGGGATCTGAGCGCTATTCTCCAATAATGTGCACTCAGATCCAGGCTATCTGGGGATACGTAATACGAATGTAATATGTTCGGCAGTTATGAAGTTATGGATTTTCATGTGGTTTTGTGACTTGTGTTTAAAATGGCGATTGCCTCTGCTCAGGGAGATAATTGAGTTACTTCCCAATTATCCCCCGAGCAGAGGGGAGGGAACTGTACTGCATGCTGGGAATATTGTGGGGATGTATGTCCAAAATGTCCCCATGTCCCTCTGTAATTTCAGTCTCCCATTTGGTCCCCTAGGGGAGTGTCCACCAAGTGGGAGACCTGCATAAATACCGGGCAGGTAGCCCACAGTAAATCAGTTCGTGTTTTACCCTCAAAGCGGAGCTTGGTCTCGTTATTGGGGGGATTTGGTTACCAGCGACTAGCGACTACCTATTTGGATTATTTGCCGCTTGGGAGTTATTGACGTTCGGTTACTATTTGCCATTCGTGGATTTGCAGCTTGAGAAGGGAATCAGCCGTACAGGTACCGTTCGGGAGTTTGGAGTGTTCCCTGACTGGCGGTTCGCATGGTTTGATTATGCTCGCTACCTGACCACATTAGTGCGAACGGGGAATACTCGTTAAACGGCGGTTTGTACATTTTACTACTGGAGGTACCGTAACAGTGACATGATGAGAACACAATGAAAAATATATACATGTTGTACTAGGTGTTGATAATAACCATTTAGGACATATTCAATTTATAAAATATTTTTTCTTGTTACATTCCTTATTAATACACACTTTACAAATACACAAATCAACGTTTTATGAATGTCATTAAGTTTTTTATTTTTTTTTATTGATGCCTCATTGATAGTTCTAAAAGAAAAACATACATTACACACACCCCACACCTGCAATGGGTACAGGGTGACTGAGACATAGGAGTAGTCCAGGGTCTTACATAAAGTGTTCATCTGAAACTCCTGGTGATTGTGACTAATGTCACACTCTTCATGCATGAAGTAAATTGAATGTGTAACTCCATGAGAAGTTATCTGTTTGTGAGGAGCAAAACACTAGTAACAATTAAGTAATGAAATAAGGATCATCGTTTGGAGCATTTGACTTGTTTGAAAGATATGATAATAATCTGGGTGTCCCGTTTTCCTACATAAAAACATAGAATGTGACGGCAGATAAGAACCATTTGGCCCATGTAGTCTGCCCAATTTTCTAAATACTTTCATTAGTCCTTGGCCTTATCTTATAGTTAGGATAGCCTTATGCCTATCCCACGCATGCTTAAACTACTTTACTGTGTTAACCTCTACCACTTTAGCTGGAAGGCTATTCCACGCATCCACTACCCTCTCAGTCAAGTAATACTTCCTGATATTATTTTTAAACCTTTGTCCCTCTAATTTAAGACTATGTCCTCCTTTCTTCTTTTAAATATAGTCTCCTCCTTTACTGTGTTGATTCCCTTTATGTATTTAAATGTTTCTATCATATCCCCCCTGTCTCGTCTTTCCTATACATGTTAAGATCCTTTAACCTTTCCTGGTAAGTTTTATCCTGCAATCCATGAACCAGTTTAGCAGCCCTTCGCTGAACTCTCTCAGAGGTATCAATATCCTTCTGAAGACACGGTCTCCAGTACTGCGTACAATACTCCAAGTGAGGTCTCACCAGTGTTCTGTACAATGGCTGAGCACTTCCCTCTTTCTACTGCTAATACCTCTCCGTATACAACCAAGCATTCTGCTAGCATTTCCTGCTGCTCAATTACATTGTCTGCCTACCTTTAAGTCATCAGAAATAATCACCCCTAAATCCCTTTCCTCAGATGTTGAGGTTAGGACTCTATCAAATATTCTGTACTCTGCCCTTGGGTTTTTACGTCCAAGATGCATTATTTTGCACTTATCCACATTAAATGTCAGTTGCCACAATTCTGACCATTTTTCTAGTTTACCTAAATCATTTGCCATTTGGCTTATCCCTCCTGGAACATCAACCCTGTTACATATCTTAGTATCATCAGCAAAAATACATACCTTACCATCAAGACCTTCTGCAATATCACTAATAAAAATATTAAAGAGAATGGGTCCAAGTACAGATCCCTGAGGTACCCCACTGGTGACAAGCCGAAGCTTCAAATGTACTCCATTGACTACAACCCTCTGTTGCCTGTCACTCAGCCACTGCCTTATCCATTCAACAATATTGGAATCCAAACTTAAAGGTTGCAGTTTATTGATAAGCCTTCTATGTGCAACAGTGTCCAAAGCCTTACTGAAATCTAGGTAAGCAATGTCTACTGCACCACCCTGATCTATAATTTTAGTTACCCAATCAAAAAAATCAATAAGATTAGTTTGGCATGATCTCCCTGAAGTAAACCCATGTTGTCTCTGATCTTGAAATCCATGTGGTTTTAGATGTTCAACAATCCTGTCCTTTAACATGGTTTCCATCACTTTCCCCACTACTGAAGTAAGGCTTACTGGCCTATAGTTGCCCGACTCCTCCCTATTTCCTTTCTTGCGAATGGGCACAACATTCGCTAACTTCCAATCTTCTGGGACTACTCCTGTGAACAATGATTGGTTAAATAAATCTGTTAATGTTTTTTCTAGTACACCACTAAGCTTTTTAAACAGCTTTGGGTGTATTCCATCAGGTCCCATTGTCTTATTTGTCTTTACCTTTGACAGTTGAAATAGAACCTCTTCCTCTGTAAACTCACGTGTAATAAATGACTAATTTATCCTTTTTCTTAACTGAGGTCCCTTTCCTTCATTTTCACCTGTAAATACCGAACAAAAATATTAATTGAGGCAGTCAGCTAGACCTTTACCCTCTTCTACATATCTTCCTTCTTTTGTTTTTAATCTAACTAATCCTTGTTTTACTTTTCTTTTCTCATTTATGTATCTAAAAAAAGGTTTTGTCCCCCTTTTTTTACTGACTGCGCTATTTTCTCTTCTGTGTGTGATTTGGAAGCTCTTATAACTTGCTTAGCCTCTTTCTGCCTAATCTTATAGATCATTCTGTCTTCCTCACTCTGGGTTTTTTTATAAGTACTAAATGCTAACTTTTAGTTTTTTACTATTTTGGCCACATCTGCGGAGTACCACAGTGGTTTCTTGAATTTTTTGCTTTTACTGACAAGCCTAATGCAGTTTTCTGTTGCCTTCAGTAGTGCAACTTTTAAATAATCCCATTTCTCTTGGACTCCATTTAAATTGCTCCAGTCTGATAATGACTCCTTTACACATATTCTAATTTTAGAAAAGTCTGTTTTTCATCTGAATAAGGAAATTTACCCTGAATAACAAACTCTGTTTTAAAGGACCACTCAAGGCACCCAGACCACTTCAGCTTAATGAAGTGGTCTGGGTGCCAGGTCCTTCTAGGATTAACCTTTTTTTTTTTTTTTTATAAACATAGCAGTTTCAGAGAAACTGCTATGTTTATAATAGGGTAATCCAGCCTCTAAAGCCTCTAGTGGCTGTCTCATTGAAAATCACAGTGAGAAGACGCAAGCGTCCATAGGAAAGCATTATGAATGCTTTCCTATGAGACAGGCTGAATGCGCGCTCAGCTCCAGCCGCGCATGCGCATTCAGCCGAAGAGGCGGAGAGCTCCCCGCCCGGCGCTGGAAAAAAGGTAAGATTTAACCCTTTCCTCGCCATCCAGCCCGGCGGGGGTGGGACGCTGAGGGTGGGGCACTATAGTGGTCCTTTAAAAATCTTGAATTCCAACAGTGCTTGGCATTCATACCAATGATACCATCCATAATATTGTTGGGAACTGCAGTCTAGTTTGCATTTAGTAGTGATCTAGCACAGAGGTTACCAATCCAGTTTCCAGGGCTCACCAATGGGCCAGGTTTCACCAGTATACATATTGGAACAGAATTGGCAAATAACTAAGTCCTGGACTGTTCAATTGTTTCAACTGGATTGAGAGTCACTACTCTAGCAGAAGGTTTAACTAATCTCTCTTACCGGCTTTTGAGGTTCTGCTCTATTAATATAACATTAATAGAGCTCGTGGCAATAATTAACCAGGTTGACAACTGCATAACTTGTGATCCTAATGTGAATCTTATGCAAATAATAAATAACTTGTTTTCCCATAATCAAGTTGTTGCACACGAGTAAGAAAAACAAATAAAAGAACATGTGGACATTATTCTAATTGATTGACATAATATTTACTTTTTCAGGTGTTATCGTATCAAGTAGATGTTACAATGCTGGCACTGTGTGCATTTGAGCTTGGAATTTCTGCCTGGATTCTCACTTTCCTAATCATATTGAGAAGGACAGCTTTATAAGTGAAAAACATACGTTGTTTTTCAATACAACACTTTTTAAACTACCAATCATTTAAATGTGAAATGCTACAGCAGAACGCACTTACCGGCATTCTTTTCATATCTGTTATTAAAAGAACTATGAAACGATGATCTCCTTGTGTTTATATCACTCTTTTTTGGGTTAAGCTTTGTGCTCCAAATGAAGATCCTGCAAATAGAAAAACAACTATGTTTGAGAATATAACCCAGTATAAATACCTCATGTCATATATAGGCACGGGGGAAAGGTTTGAACCTTTAAAAACCAGGGGTTGTGCCAGTCATCATCACATGCCTGGAATGCAACAGAAAAGTTCTGGAAAGTAACTTGAGCACATTGGAGTAATAGAAAATCAAATTAATAATGTTGTAATTTATTTTAAATGAACACTATAGGGTCAGGAACACAAATAATGTATTCCTGATCCTATTAAACCACCATCTAGCCCCTCTTGCCATCCTATGTATAGTAAAATCTTACTTGTATTTCAGTCTGGAGCTGCTGCCTCTGAACTGCATCTGACCTCTGACATCATCAGAAGGGGTGGTCTGAGCCAATCACAATGCCTCCTCATAGAATTGGCTGTCAGTGAGGCAGATCAGGGGCAGAGCCAGCACAAGTCAAACACAGCGCTGGCCAGTCAGCATCTCCTCATAGAGATGAATTAAATCAATGCATCTCTATGAGGAAAGCTCACTGTCTGCATGCAGAGGGTGGATACACTGAATGTTGTGATGCATAAAAGGCAGTACTGCCCAAGCAAGCACCTCTAGCGACCATCTGAGGAGTGTCCAGTAAAGTTATCACTAGGCTGTAATGTAAACACTGCATTTTCTCTGAAAAGACAGTGTTTACAACAAGAAGCCCGAAGGGAAGGATTCTACTTACCAGAACAATTACAATAAGCCATGGTTGTTCTGGTGACTATAGAGTCCCTTTAATATTGGATTTATACGTGACTTTCAGATGCTCTAAATAGTATTTTGCTTTGTGTTATGGGAAATATCACAAGGATTTAACCTCTATATTACCTATTCAACTACTGGTATATGGCAGGAACACACTATTACATACAGAAACGGTCAATAATTTATTATTTTGCATCGTACTCCTCCCTGTCCCCTGCAAAATGAGTATTTCATAAAGATAAAATCTTTATGAAATACTCATGCAACTGAAATTTCAACCCAGTCAAAAGATATACTGAGACAAAGCAGGTACTGTTTCAGTATTTTTCCTATGCCTTACACTTCTTGACACAGCCGTCTAGAAGTGTCAGTCTCCCACCTGTCTCCAGTGATGGCTGCAGAGATATTAGCGAGAGTACAGCAGAGACCTCGGCCAGAATTCACAGACCTTTAGTATGGGATCGCCATTCAAAGTAACATAAGCCCACCCTGGCGGGACACAGAGAGCCGAACACAAATCAAAATACTGAAAATACAAATAATACAGTGAAGCACCCCTACATGCCATACTGGAGGGCCCAATCTGTCCAAATCTGTCCAAATCTGCCCAATCTGTCCAAAAATGGCCCGGACCGGACCTGGCTAACCCGAGTTATATGGAAGTCCAAAGTTCAGCGAGACGCGGCTAGCCTCCAATCCGGTGCAGAGTTCTAGAGTGCTGGGTAGCACTCTAGAACCCCTGACTAAAGCCCCTGCTCAGCCTCTTATAATATAATTCATTTTTTATACAACAATATTAGCAACAGTCTTCAGAGTCCAGTCCCAGTCACTCGCACGCAGTTACAGGCAGACAGTCACACATAGAATTAAATCCCCTGCTCAGCCCCCCTTAAACAAAATCTCTGTCCCCCTTCTACAAACCCCTGCACCCCCCTTCCATAAAACTCCTGCACCGCTCCATCCCCCCCAAAAAACTGACTCTCCCTCTAAAGCCCCTGCTCAGCCTCTTACAAAAGAATTCATTTTTTTTATACAACAATATTACAGTCTTCAGAGTTCAGTCCCAGTCACTCGCACACAGTCACAGGCAGACAGTCACACATACAATTACAGGCAGACAGTCACATGCACGCAGTCACTGGCAGATAGTCACACACACACACACACTTACTGGCAGCATCCCCTAATCACAGGCAGACAGTCACACACACACTCACAGGCACACTGTCACACACAGGCAGACACACACACACACAGTCATAGGCAGACAGTCACACACAGGCAGACAGTCACACACACACACAGTCACAGGCAGACAGTCCCGGTGCAAGGAATTCTGCTGCCCTAGGCAAAGATCCATTTTGCCGCCCCCTCATAAGATCGTTCCATTGTGTCATAAGTTTATGCACTAAACTCCAAAAGGAAAAATTCCACAGATTTCATTTAACAATTTAGTAGATATACCCCAAAAGAAAATATTGGAAGAAAAAAGTCCTCCAATCAGAGGCTTCTGATGGAGAAGCCTCTGTTCTGGGGCCGCAGTTGTGTGCATGCACATCCAATCACAGCTTTCCTATGTTTCCCATTGAGCTCAAGTTCAGCTCATTGAGAAAGGGAAAAGGCAGGTGCACTCTGGTACAGCACGTGTGCCTCTTCTGTTAGCTCTGTGCTAAAGGAAGTGAGAGATAACTTTACTAGCTGTGTGACAGACAGGGAGGTTTTTTTAACCACAATTATACGGTTTTTAAAATGACTCCAGACATATAAAGCACTTCAGCACGCTAAAATACTGTATGTGTGTGGAGTATTCCTCTCTATTAGCAAACTGCTTTATACATATAAACACATACTGCATAATACATACACACATAGAAAGTGCCCTATACATACATGCACACAAACTGCTTAATACACACACAGAAACTTCCGAATACATACATAAACCAAAACATAAAAACTGCCTCATACTCACACACACTGCCCAATACGCACACAAACTGCTGTATAAATACATACTCACAAACTGCCTGATTAGAACATTAAAATATGATTATTGCAATTAATGTAATGCATACAGCAACAGATGCATACTGTCTCATACTCACACACTGCCTAATATATACACTCGCACACTCCCTAATACATACACACAAACACACAAACTGCTTTATAGATACATACAGGTCTTTTTCAATCTACTTGTCCAAGAGACTAAAGTGGATCCCTATACAAACTCATACATTAACACAACTTCAAACTAAAAGAATTGGTCTAGATGAATATTCTTGTTCTTGGGTAGAACATTGGCTTAAGGATAGAGTACAACGAGTTGTCATTAATGGTAAATTTTTAAGCTGGACAAAAGTGGTAAGTGGTGTCCCTCAGGGTTCTGTTTTGGGACCGCTTCTATTTAACATATTTATAAATGATCTTGAAATGGGCATTGAAAGCCATGTATCAGTGTTTGCAGATGACACGAAACTTTGTAAAGTAATAAAATGTGAGCAGGATATTGCCTTGCTGCAGAGGGATTTGGATAGATTGGGGGACTGGGCACTAAAATGGCAGATGAAATTTAACGTAGAGAAATGCAAAGTTTTGCACTTCAGGGTTAAGAATGCACAAGCAATTTACACCCTAAATGGTAGTGAACTAGGGATAACCACATAGGAGAATGATTTGGGAATTGTTATAGACAACAAATTAGGCAGCAATATGCAATGTCAATCTGCCGTTGCTAAGGCCAGTAAGGTTTTGTCATGTATAAATAGGGGCATAAATTCTCGAGATGAAAATATAATTTTGCCTCTTTATAAATCGCTGGTAAGACCACACCTTGAATATGCTGTGCAATTTTGGGCACCTGTTCTAAAGAAAGATATCATGGCACTAGAAAAAGTGCAGAGACGAGCTACAAAATTGATAAAAGGAATGGAGCATTTTAGTTATGAAGAGAGGTTAAAAAATGTAAATCTCTTTAGTTTGGAAAAACGGCGCCTGAGAGGGGATATGATAACATTATTGTAGCGGAGTAGTAGTATTATCCATGGTATCTCCGCTGGTAGACAGAGTGAAGCAGGTACAAAATAGGCAAAATCCAGGTAGCGTAGTTACAATCCCTTTCTCCCAAGAACTAGACGACACATAGCTTGGAGGTCAACTGAGGTTTTAATCACAGGTCACAGTATTTATGTGGTTACAAATGTAAGGGGTTTCCCAAGTCACATTACAGGGGTTGTCCAGTAGTGGACTACATGGGGGACTGAGCTTACAGGCTGATTACCCAGCATACACTGCTGTACCAGAGAAATAATTACATGATTAACAGGCACAGGAAAAAGTAACATTCTACATTAAATTCACTAACTTTGGCAATTCACCACATATTTTACCGAATGACACCTCAATAGATTGCAGGGATCAATCGGTACAATATACAGAAGTACCGCTCTGATCCCGGCAGAAACAACCGAACGCGGCTCGCAATAGACCTTTACACGAACTGGGTTTTAGCAGAGAAAACTCACGAATGGGTTTATTTTTCTGAAGGAGAGAGTTTCCCGACCGCTATGGAACTCCAGCGGTGTTTGGGAATCAAGTAGCCGATTTCGGTTCCAGGCACTCGACGACCAAACACCGCTGAACTCTAACAAAGCAAAGATGGCCGCCGCCACATGTTCGGTACACGAACGGTGAACACACACAGAATGCTCATTAACGGATGGATACAATGTTTTGGCTTTACTAACAAGCGGCACACGACCTTCTGGGGTGGTCTCCCATTCGGTCTTTCATTCGTTTCACGAACAGGGTTGGACTCTACTGTTCGTGAAACTTGCAACAGCGTGTTAGCAGTATTTGTGTGCTGTAACACATGAATGTATAGGAACATTAGGTGAAATCTTTACATACAGATAAATTTAACAGGGGTTAAGTTTCTCACGAATAGAGACACAATGGAAACAAAACATCAAGCATATATATATACATAATACTCTGTAAGTGGCTAGGTTTGCCACAATTATACAAACAGGGCCGGACTGGGAAAAAAATTCGGCCCGGGCATTTTTTTATCACAGCGGCCCACTAAGAAGGGGGCGGGGCAGAGAGGGTGTGTTTTGTCATCACTCATGACAAACACGCCCCCTCTCAAAGTGAGCATGTTGGTTCAATGCTCTTCCAGGGCAGACCATGCACAGA